CCCTAAAGGCTCGCTATGAGCCAGGATTAACTCCTGCATGTATATATTTTAATTTACAACGTAAGACAGAGACTTACTTCTGCGGTGATACGTTCCTTGAAAGCAGCGACCTGTAAACACAAACAGATATACGAGAGTTTGAATACCAAGTTAACAAAAAATACTCATTTTACGTCAGTAAACTTTATTTTGGTCCAGTTTTAAACACATGACCGGTTCATCAGTGTGAGAGACAACCTCTAGCATTGGTAACTCAACGCCGGTGTGAACGGCAGCTGGCTGAGTTAGCTAACTTGGTAGCTCAGGCCTTCTTCAGTGCATGTGGTCGTAGTAGCAGCAACCATTTTCCCAGCACAGGGGGCTGTAAATCAAACTTTATCTAGATCCCCGTTACGCTTAGCGCCACCCTGACACCACACCTGGGGAAAGGTTTGACAGGTGTACTGCAGTAGGCGGGAAACAAGAAACCGGTTAGCCGGTAGCTGCTCTTAGCCTGGCCTTATCCGAGCTCCCACATCATGCTACTAAATGTGGCTAACATGCTAGCAAAGAACATGGCAACAACAACACGCAGTATAAACTCAACTGGAATTCACAAAAGGCCAAACCTCACCTTGGTTTTAATTTCACTATCCACCTTGAGGAGTGAAGACATCTTATGTAGTCGAATATGAGCAGAACGATTGTCCCAACAGCATTAAATTCACCTGTAAACGTGTGGCTTATCACTTGTCTGCCACACTTCGTGAGCTTAAAGATGACGACAATAAACATGCGACGGAGGCGGTGTTGCGACCGCGCTTGCGCGCAACGTCACCGTCTTTTTCTAGACGCAGCTGACGATGTAAACAAGAGAAAACATCCGAGGGCAGCGGGGCTCACACAGGCCGGGTTTCACGCAAATGATAGCCATTAAGCACCCATAGACGGCGGACATGGGGCTCCCTGTTACTATTAAAGTCAATTTCCGGGGAAACGTGAAGAGGTTTCTGGCTCAGGATATGGATAAATTGGAGTGGGAAGCTGTTGAAGTCTGGGTAAGCAGCTAGCAGAGTCTTGGCTAAACGCTGGCGCAGTTTAGTGAAAAAGTAGGCCTAGACGTTTTGGCCTAGACATATAAACAGAGCTCCCAAAGGATAATCGATGTTGTTACGACAATAACAATAATGTATTTGTAAATAATATTTTTTTAAGCCAACCGGAGCTTTACAAAATATAGGCACACAAGTGAGGACGTGCTCAGTTTGATTTAAGGTTACTACATATGTATAATACAGTATCCAGCTGTGGAGGTCTTTCTCACTGACTCAGACATGGGTCATGTTTTTCCTAACACGTGTGAGGAGAAAAACTGAACTGCTCTCAATTGTTCTGCGTTACTTTTCAGATCAAAGCATCATTTGGGATCAACCACTTTCAAGTGAAATACTTTGATGAAGACAATGAAGAGGTAAGGGATTGTGTACATTGCAGATTTTCAGTGCTAATGTTTTGGCAGAGTCCAAGTTCAGTTTTTAATTTTGATCTCATTTACCTTATATTTCAGATTTGCATAAACAGTCAAGGTGAGGACAATATTTAATTGCTTGTTTTCTATATATTTTATGTTGAATATGTTTAGGCTTAGGTCTTCCTTCAAAGGTAAATCACCAGGACTTTGTTAAAAATACATGTAGCCAGCATTTGTTTAAAGCTTGGTTTAATGTACTCAAAATTCAAATACATGTTTGATTATCAGATGGCTGAAAAATAGCATGAAATGGCACAAACCTCTGTTAACTAAGATAACAAAGACTCTTTTCCCTAACTACATCTTAACCCATTGTGCTTACATGCATAGTTACCCCCTAATGACCTGTTTGATCCAGGAAAGCTGTCCAACTGATAGATTCCTAACCTGATATGGATCTATGATAGATAATATTGGCATTCATAATATGTATTGTAGAAATTATGTCAAGTCCTGTCTTCAGAATTTACTTTGGTGGTACATTTACCTAAATACAGTGGACTTAGCTACAGCTAAACTGATGCTGAACCATTGAAAGGCCATGCAAAACATGTGGTCCACACAAAGGTGTTAAACAGAGTCATAAGGTAACACAGTAAAACAAATGGGTAATTCAATTGTAGGCTCAAACACTCCATGGTGTAGGCAACTGCCTTTTGGTTACAGGGATTGTGATCAACATCCTTTTCTGCATTAGTTATAAAATATGTGTGTCACGCAAACCGGTTTTGTATGCATTGTGTTGAATACTCACAGCTCTGCCTGCAGGACATGTAGCATAATATTCATAACAGTAAACAATGATGTGTGGAGTCAAGCTGTGTCTTTTAAGTTGTTAACTGGTTAACTGGTAAGTTAATACATTTGGAACCTAAACTTTTTGACCCTTACTCCTGGTGTACTCCTACATGGAAATATCAAAATACCGGGGAAAAATACAAATTTGAGTCACAAAATGTGAAGTTATTTATTGTTTGTTTGTTTTTTCCCCCCCCCACAGATGAATACGAAGAAGCCATCAAGGTACTGTAGCAGTGCTAGGTTTAAACAGAAATGACAGAGTAATAGCTTTTGTTACTGTAGAGTGATTCTCAAACTTTTCAAAAAGAGTACCACCTCATAAAATATATGGCTCTTAAAGTACCACCCTTATGACTGACATTAAAGTGCAGTAGTATAGGGTTACTTAACAGCATATACAGTTTACACGAGACAATTTTATTTATTATATGAATGTTATTTATTTCAACTGTCATGAATAGAATAGAATAGAATAGAATAGAATAGAAAAATCCTTTAATTGTCCCACAAGGGGAAATTTGGTTGTAACAGCAGCCGGAACAGGATGTGACAAGTGATAATAATAATAATAACAACTGTACTGCATTAAAACATTAACAGCAGGCGGGATATCCAATCTTTAAGTGATGATGTGATGAAACCTGCTTCTGGGTCTAAACTACTCTGCATTTATTAAGGCTGTTGTGTTTTTGTTGTGTATCTTGTTCTATTTAATCTGAACAAGCCCCTAAAAATGGCATTGATCACTGTCAGCCTCTCTCGGTTATTATCACCCCTGTTCATTTTAAAGCTCCGTTTTTAAAACCTTACCGTGTAACTACAGCCCAGCCCATGCCGCAGTATATTAATGACTAACCTCGTATTGTGGATGGATTATCTCAGTCGTTCTCCTGACTGAAGTTTGGTCCATTTCCAGCATCCTGCCATGCGATTGCATTTGTCCCAACCCATCGGGAACCCTCACGTTAACTTTTATTGAGTGGAAAAAAAGTTAGCGTTCATCCTCCAGCTTCACTGTGTTTATATTATGCTAACATAGCTGTGTCGCTGGATATCATTATATACCAGCTAGCCCAACTTCAGTAACCCTAAAAACGTCACTGCTGTTTAGTTTTCTGTCTTCATTTATGTTGGAAGTGATAGCAGAACTATTTTAATTTTTCAGAAATCTTTCAATCAGAACATGGTATATTATTCAATCTTTAAAAATATTTGGAGACTTCACGTGTACCACTAGAGGGAGCCCACGTACCACGGGTGGTATGCGTACCACAGTTTGAGAACCACTGCTATAGTATATATCCTTACATAGAGAACTTGCACCGTAAAACTACACTTAAGACATAAACAACACAACTGTGTCTTTAATTAGACTACTAAAGTTATAGAAGAACAAATGGTGAAAATAACAGAATATATGTGCAGTATATGTACTATGCATCTGTATACACATCACGTTGCTACTGTGTCACTTGACTGCGGTTTGCATTCTATGCTAATTCTCCATGCAGAGTGCAGAGAAGCAGGGAAACCAGTTACACATGAATGTGTACAAGATGAAAGGACAGGCCTGTGGGGGCCCACTGAAGACCGAGGTGAAGGAGCTGAAAGGAGACCTTCGACCCGCTCCTCCTTACCCCTCAAGGGTTAAAACAGTGGACAAAGGCACGCAGGTCACCCCTGAGCGAGAAGCTGTAAGTAATTCTACTCTTCCCCCCAACTTTCTTCTCCCTATAGATTCTCACATGTGCAGTGTCTTTGAAATCATTTTAATAAAATCGATGCCTCAAGTCAGTTAAGTTTTTGTGCCTGTTGGGGAAAAAGTTTGTGCTTCTTTATTAAAAGCTAAAATCTCTGATTTTGTCACTTAACTGAAGAATGGTGTATTTTCATGCAGGTAGCAGTAAAAGATAACAAGGGGAACAAACCAGATGATGAGCCCCCTCCTATGTGGTTTAGATCATACATGGAGAAGGTAAAATTTAACCGCTGCTGTGAAGCAGTATTTTTACATTGAACATTTTATTTTTGATTTGCGATTAAATAAAATACTGTGCTCTGCTTCTGTTTTTCATAGTTTAAGGATGAGGTGGTAAAGGAGGTAGTAGAAAGAATGTGCAGCGACTTTTCTGTCCAGTGTTGTACCCACAAATCCCCTGAAGGTCCCCCTGAGGCAATTGGGGCTATTGGCGGTATTATGGGACCCAAACCAGGCCCCTCCACCTCGAATGGATCCCTTGGCTACACCCCAAACTGCAGCAGCTGCAACAAACTCACCTCTGAAGGAGCCTACAAGTGCAGGTATGCATGAAATTAACTCTAGTCATCACAACATTGCTTTTAACCATTTTTACATGTTTGGTGTTTTTTAAGTAGCTGTGTAAATGTTTACATTAATGTCTTTGTTATTTTCCCTGCCAGCGTGTGCCCATCCTGCATCCTGTGTGAGATGTGCAGACATAGCCATGACCCTAGCCACAACCTCGTGAGAACCAAGACACCTCTCTCCATCCCAGAACATGGAATGTCAGGAGAGTTAAGGTAAACAACCTAATCTGAGGATAACTCTGCATTAATGAAGGAAAATATGAATAGAAACACACACAAAGTGGGATTGTAAATTATTCTTGCAGCTAGATTACTGTAATTAATGACTTATCAATGGGAATTTTTATGATTTTGTTTTTGGAAAATAAACATTTGATAGTCCACAAATAGGTGTTCCTGATGACATTTTAAACCAGGTTCCCAAGGCGAGGAGACAGGACAGTGCGCAAGGCCGAACGACAGCGCCTCAAAGCAGAAAGAAGGCAGCTAAGAGCCGAAGTGAAGGAAATCAAGAAGAAACTGAGACTGGAGAAGAGGGGCCTGCAGTGGAGTGGGCCCTCTACCTCAGGAAGAGCCACTCTGACAAACATGGCCTCCACATCCACCCAGGTCCCTGCCCTGTCCCCTCCTACTGCCTCAGACACAGCCTCAGGTCCAGCCCCAGCCCAAGGTCCCATCCCTGCCCTGGTCCCTGAACCCCAGGCCTCCAGTCCAGAGTAAGAGCCACCTCGGAAGAGCGTCCGACAGTGCTGGGTACCTTGAACCCAGCATGGATGCAAAAAAGTCTTTTTTTCCAAGAAAAGAAATGAAAATATGCCATCTTTGTAATCTAGTCTGTATGAGTGTATCGCTGGCTGCTCTGGGTGGTGGAAATTGTTGGAACTACCTCAATGTGAAAACTGCTGCTGCTGCTTCATAGATTTTCTAAGAAAATTGCTTTTGAGCTGCAAAAAAAAAAAAAAAAAAAAATCTGCGGTCCTGCTTTTTTGATTCGTAGAGAACAAAAGATGGGTATTATAAGAAACCAGGGCTTTTTTCAACAATGCTCTGTACACTTGAAACTAGGGGTCCCGGGGTCTCGCACACGTCCTTGGTGCCCACTATGGCTGCCTTGTTTCTGGATGAAAATCTGCCTGACGGCACCAATCTGGA